GGCTTTGGCGCGCTTGGTTCCCTTCGAACGACACCTCTGGGCGTGGTGGATAATGGATCCGCTGTTTTGCTGCACCTGCTGTTCGTTCGGGGATGAATGGCGGGAGGACACGCGAGCCGCTGTCGCCCTCGAGCTCCTTCTGGTAGCCGCGCTGATTGTCCCAATGGCCCGGCGGCCTGGCGGGGCGCCCCTGGACGGGACGAACTCGAGCGCCCCCGGGTTGAGCTGCGGTTCCCACTCGGTGTTGTTGATGACGCGCTGGTATTGACACGTGGGTCAATACCCTCGTTGGCGCTGGTCCTGAGCATCGGCCTGATGATATCGCAGGTCGTGTCCCTGTTTTGGCTGCGTAGCCTAGCTGGCTCACTGCTTTAATGAAGCTTGAAAACTCGTGGTCTCGAGGCCTAGGCTGCGAGGCGGGGATTGATTCATATCCACTGCCTGGGAACCGACGTCCTGGTGCCCCAGCGGGCGGTGGATATGGATATATTTCGGCCCCCGGGGGCCCGAATATGTCCATATCCACCGCCTGCCGAGGCTCCGAAAACTGACCCTCCAGGCGGTGGTCATGTATAAATTCCCGCATCGGATAAGCAACAAGGTGGGGGCCCGTGAAATTCTCGCTCGTGATGGCAGCGGCGGAGGTGTCCAGCTTGGTCGCGAGCACCTCGACCGCCATGGCGCGGCGGGCGCCGCACCTGGCCATTCGCCCGCTGCGTGGCCCCCCGCCCCTGTGTCGAGGGCCAGGCATGGGGGGGGGCACGCCCCCGAGTCGCGCAACGGCTTTCCTCCTCCTCCTCCTCCTCCTCCTCCTCCTCCTCCTCCTCCTCCTCCTCCTCCTCCTGCTCGTTAGCCTCCATCACACCACGTGGAGTGCTCGAAGGGCTCCAGCCAAAGGAGGCGCATCCGTCGCGCCCTCGGCAGCAGACAGTTGACCTCCGCGATGACTCTCCCCGCCCCGTCCGAGACCGCGGGCCCAGACCCAGAGGCGGCGTGGCCGCAGCTCGGCTACGGCAGGTTTGTGTCGTGCCGACTTCGGCGTTGGTTTCTGACACCGCAGGGATCGTTCAACCTTGAACGAGCGGCCGTTTCAGAAACGTCAGCTCGTTGAACATCGACCGATTCTGGCTCGCTGGCGGCGTTCAACGTTGAACGCGGGCGGCGGGGTCGCCGCTGGTCGGCATGACGCGAACCTGCCATACTCATGTTCCTGGCCGTGGGTGCTGCTGAGGTCGAACCCAAGCCTGTCTAGAGGAAGAAAAAGCTGCACGGGCATTGCCTTTCGGAGATCTGCGCGGGTCTATGAGGTCGGAGCGGGCCATGGGCGGCGCCGGAGGCGCCGCAAGGGGAGTTCAACGCAGATCCAAGAAGTCTGCGCGGAGTTCCGAAGGTTGATGTGTATGCCATTTCTTCTTCGAAAAAAGGTGCCGACACCGCTGATGCCTGGAACACTCAGAAAACGCAGGCGGACCTAGATTTCGAGGCGGAGCCAGCCGCGGCGACGAGGAAAGGGCAGCGGTATCGGTATCGCTTCCAAATTCTGAGTCTCGCTCGCCTGCCGCTTGCCAATCAGCCTTGCACGAGGACGCTGCCCGCGCGCACTCGGTCTCGCCGACCCCTCGCGGACGCTGCTGGGCGACCAGTCACAGATTCTCGCCCGCGGGTGCTGCAGGGGCCGCGCCTGTGCCTGCATCGCCACACCCCAGCGTCACGCCCGCCAGCCCTGCGCGGGGTCGGGCCTCGCTGTGGTGCGATCGGTCTCTCCTGTCCTCCTGCATTCAGGAGCGACGATAGGGGGGACCAGCTCAGGGGGGCAGGCATCGAGCTGGAATCGGCGATACATCGCCGATAGATCGGCGATAGGCCCCCGATAGCGAATCCGCATGGCCCTGGGCGGGGTGGGATATCAGGCCCGCATCGGCCATGGATGGGCGTTCGGGGACCGATGTTCCCCCTAACGTATGCGCTGCCTGGGCAGCCACGGCGACGGGCCCGTGCGCACGGAGCCCCAGATCCAGAACAAGGGAGAAGAGCGAGCCCACTACGTGGGCGGGGGGGGGGCCTCCTCGCCTGTCTGCACGCTTGTGTCTGGCCCCCTCTGGCTTGCTGTAGGCATCGTCTTGCGTGGGCACCTCTTGTACCTGCACTGCTGCTTTCCATCTGTGCGCGCTTGCGCGCATGGCCGCAATGGCGGCGATCGAGCGTTGTAGACTTGACCACAGATATTTCGTTTACCGAGGTTCCGATCAACTACGTCATCATCATAGTCATGATCATGATCATGATCATGATCATGATCATCATCATCATCATCATCAGCAGCATCATCATCAGCACCATCATCATAATCAGCATCATCAGCATCATCAGCTTCATCATCAGCATCATCATCATCATCATCATCATCATCATCGTCATCATCATCTCCAATTTCATCATCATCATCAGCAGCAGCATCAGCATCAGCATCATCAGCATCAGCATCAGCATCATCATCGTCGTCATCATCGTCATCATCATCGGCAACAGCATGAGCATCATCATCACCACCATCAGTCTCAGAATCAACAACAGCACCATCCTTACCATCACCGCCACCGTCACCGTCACCATCACCATCACAACTACTCATCGTAAGCCACACATCGTTATCATGCGCGGCATAAGCATCATGGTCGTCATGATCATCAGCAGCAGGATCATCCTTACCATAATCGTAAACAGCAGCATCATCGTCCTCATCATCCTCATCATCATCATCATCATCATCATCATCATCATCATCATCATCATCCACAGCATCATCATCAGCATCATCATCATCAGAGTGGCTAGCATTCACGCGTAATCATCATCATCATCATCATCATCATCATCATCATCATCAGCAACATCAGCATCATCATAAGCATCATCAGCATCAGCAGCTTCTTCTTCTTCATTATCATCATCAGGATCATCATCATCAGCAGCATCGCCATCAAGCTCATCATCGTCATCATCAGCATCATCATCACCATAGTCATTAGTAGTATCATCACAACCATCGTCATCATGATCATAGTGATCAACATCATCAGCATCATCATCAACATATTCATCATCATCATCATCATCATCATCATCATCATGATCATGATCAGCAGCATCATCATCATTACAATTGTCATCCGAATCATCATCACCATCATCAGCCTCACCATCAGCAGCATCACCCTGTCCATCATCGTCATCATCATCAGAAGCATCATTATCATCATCAGCATCATCATCAGCATCATCGGCACCATCAGATTCACCGTCAGCATCGTCATCATCATCAACCTCCTCCTCGTCAATATCATCATCATCATCATCATCATCATCATCATCATCATCATCATCATCATCATCATCATCATCACCATCATCATCATCATGAGCATTATCATGAGCATTATCATCAGCAGCAGCAGCATCATCGTGATCAGCATCCTCATCAGCAGCATCAGCATCGTCAGCAGCATTATCATCGTTGTCGTCGTCATTGTCAATGTTATTTAATCGCTTCGCTCATTCCGCCAGCCCATATTGTCGCACCGTTGTGGGCTAGCCGAGTTTTGGGGCCTCTTGGGGGCTGTTTTGGGGCCTCTTGGGGCTTCTTTTGGGCCTCTTGGGCGCCTCTTGGGGCGTCTTGGGGGCCTCTTGGGGGCCTCTTGGGGCCTTTTTGGGCCTCCTGGGCGCCTTCTGGGGCGGAGGGCTCGATTTTTCAGTTCTCGGTTCCCCTCTTGAGCCCCTCTTGGGCCCGTCTTGGGGCCTCTTGGTCCGTCTTGGGCGGCACTTGGGCCGTCTTGGGGGCCCTCCTGGGCCGTTCCGGGGCCGTCTTGGGAGCCTCGTGGGCCGTCTTGGAGCGGTCTTGGGGGCCTCTTGGGCCGTCTTGGAGCGTCCGGAAGCCGAAAAAGCCAGAACGCAAAAAACATCGAAAAAAACAATGAAAATCAACGATTTTGGCCTCTTGGGGCCCTCTTCGGAGGCCTCTTGGAAGGCCCTTGGGGCGTCTTGGAGGCCTCTTGGGCTGTCTTGGGGCCCTGTTGGGCGTCTTCGGGCGATCTTTGGCCGTCTCGGGGCCCTCTTGGACCGTCTTGGAGGCTTCTTGGGGACCTCTTGGCCCGTCCTGGGGCCCTGTAACAGAACTCCGGCATCTCTGACCCGACCTTGCCGGGGACTTGCCGGGGACTTGCCGGGACCTTGCCGGGGTACTTTTCGTCCGGGGACCCCCAGGGGCCGCCCCGCGCGCGCGAACTAGTCGTCGTCATTGTCAATGTTATTGTCGTCAGCGTCATCGTCACTGTCATCATCATCATCATCATCATCATCATCATCATCATCATCATCATCATCATCATCATCATCATCATCATCATCATCATCATCATCATCATCATCATCATCATCATCATCATCATCATCATCATCATCATCATCATCATCATCATCATCATCATCATCATCATCATCATCATCATCATCATCATCATCATCATCATCATCGCCGTTGCCGTCGTCGCCGTCATCGTCGTCAGCGTCATCAGCGTCATCGTCATCGTCGTCGCCATCGCCCTCGTCGTCATCATCATCAGCAGCATCAGCATCAGCATCAGCATCATCATCATAAGCATCATCATCATAATCATCATCACCCATCGCCGTCGCCGTCGTCGTCGTCAACACCATCACCATCACCATACCATCACAATCATCATTTCCATCATCATCACCACCAATGTCGTAGTCATCGTCATCATCGTAGTTATCGTCATCGCCACCATCACATCATCACATTTGTCGGTATCGCATCGCCCTCCTCTTCCTCACAAAGGAGGAGGCGGATGGGAGTGAGGAAGGCAGCGAAAGTCGTGGAGGGCAAGAAGCAGGTGGGCGGCGGCTGGCCCCCATGACCATGGTCCCAGTGGGCGGCGGCCGGCCCGGCCCTGTCCTTGTCGAATTCGCAGCTGCCGACGTCAACCTTGAGATCCTCGCAGCTCTTCTTGTAGCCGTCGCTGAGGAGGCCCAACGACTCCTCGGAGGAGACAGGAGGGGGGGAGGGGGCCGAGCGATCGAGCGGAAGCCGAGAGGCGAAAGGATCCAGAGAGCATCAGGACCACCCCTCAGCCCAGGCCTTGCGCGCGCGGGCCTTGAGGTACCTGGGAGCGAACGGCGAAGACAAGGAGGGGAAGGGGCGGCGGAAGGAGGGGGGATGAGGGATTCCCAAACGGGCGCACAACGCTGGGGGCACCTTGGGCCAGGACCACGTCTGGCAACACCCGACCCCAGGGCCTCCAAAAGCGCACGAAGAGCTGAGGGCACCTTGGGCCAGGATCAACTCTGACAACACCCGCCCACTCTCATCCCCACGCCGCCCCGCTCAACCGGCACAGCTCCCTGTCAACGCCGCCGACGCCGCCGCTCGGAGGGCGAGCTGAGACAGCGGCAGCTCACATCGGTCCCTGGACCCCTCCAGGGCCCAACCGCACCAGTCTACCGAGCTGCGCCCTCAGCCGTGGCGACGCAGGAGCAGGCCCGAAGGCCCACTACCGCACTCTCAATTCGCCCTCCTCCTCCTCCTCCTCCTCCTCCTCCTCCTCCTCCTCCTCCTGCTTCTCCTCCTCCTCCTCCTCCTCCTCCGCCTCCTCCTCCTCCTGCTCCCTTCTTCCTGTTTCCTGACAGCACGCGAGTGCTCCGCGCGCTGCCAACGCCTCTGGCGCCATCACCGCCGCCCCCCCCCTTCCCAGTGATCCTCGTCGTCCAGCTTTCGGGCCACAGCTCGGGCCTCCAGCGGCCGTTCGAGACGGTCTGGGCACCCCTTTGGACGCCCGAAATGGGTACCGAAAGAATGGGCAACATGCCCAACAACAAATGTTGTCCCGAACCAACAGCGGCCGCTGTTGGGCAGGCGGCCTTCTGTCTCAAATGAACACAGGCCGCGGCGGCGCGGACAGCGAGTCTTGTTCAAAATGAACAAGATCCGCTGTTGGGCAGTGTACCCATTCTTTCAGTGCCCATGTCGGGCGTCCAGAACCCCTCTGGAACCCCCTCGGCGGGGCGCAGCCGGCCGAGGGCACATCCCAAGGGAGGGAGGCCTCCAGGAACCGACGAGAGCGTTCGACAACTGCGCACCTCCGCCGCCGCCGCCGCCGCCGCCGCCGCCAGGGGCGGCACGGGGCCCCCCTGTCTGGGGAAGCCACAAGGTACCGATACCGCTGCTCCCCGGACCTCTCCCAGGGGTGCGTTCTGACCAGGAGTTCGAGGCAAATCCAGCGGTGGCGACGAGGCCTCCCAGGAGGCCTGAACAGGGGAGAGCGGCCGAGGGGCAGAGGCATGGGTGCCTTGGCCTCCTCTGACCGTCCGCGATCATGTCCACGGCGGAGGCCTGGAACTCGTGGCGCTCCGACTTCGGCACCCCGAGGCTGTCCGAGCACATGCCCGCCAGAAGCGCGGCACCGCTGTCGCCCATGAGCAGCGCCCTCTTGACCTGCGGGCTGAGGAGGCGCGGGGGGAGGAGGGACACGCGGAGGCCCCTGGCGGAGGGGAAGGAGGGGAGGAGGAGGAGGGGGAGGAGGAGGAGGAGGAGGAGGAGGAGGAGGAGGAGGAGGAGGAGGAGGAGACGGAGGAGGAGGAGGAGGAGGAGGAGGAGGAGGAGGAGGAGGAGGAGGAGAAGGAGGAGGAGGAGGAGGAGACGGAGAAGAGGAGGAGGAGGAGGAGGAGGAGGAGGAGGAGGAGGAGGAGGAGGAGGAGAAGGAGAAGGAGGAGGAGGAGGAGAGGGGGGGAAGAGGACAAGCTGGGTGCGCTCGCGCCATATCTGACGTCCTACCCTTCCCTCCCATCCCTTCCCATGTTGCAGATCATTTCTCTATCCGCGGACGCGTGTCATAGCCGACTTGAGACTCAAAACATCAAGGAAAATCGTGTTATTCGCAATCGGAGAAGGGGAGCTGCGCACATGAGGAGGTTGCGGGGGAACAGGAGGATGAGCAGGGAGAAAAAGAAAAACTGCGAAAAATGAGGACGTGCTGCAGTAGCCAGGACTGGAGTGGAAGGAGCGAGAGGAGCAGGAGGACCAGGGGAGGGCGGAGCAGGGGAAAGGAGGGGGGCGACACCGATGAGGAAGGGCTCGGATCCAGAAAAGTACCCCACGCTGTGGCGAGAGCGCCATTCTGAACGACGGGAGCAAAGCACCAATCCGAAAAGAAGGCCCACGCTGCAGCGGGAGTACAATGTTGAAACACCAAAAACAACCAGATCGCAAAAAACCTCGGTAAGTGACAGTTGCCCAAGTCTGTATGCAAAACACGCTACGCCTAGAGGTCGGAACATCTTATGGACAGAGTCGGGGGAGAGAGGAGGGTAGTATTCGTAATCTGTAACTGTGGAGAGGGAGGGGAGGGGAGGAGGGAAGGGAAGGACACGCAGAGACCACTGGCGGAGAGGAGGGGAGGAGGAGAGGCGAGGAGGGAGGGAGGGAAGAGGGAGGGAAGAGGAAAGGAAGGAGGGAGGATGGCAGGTGTGGGATGGCGGAGGGAGGGAGGGAAGGGAGAAAGGGAGGGAGGAAGGAGACGGAGCCAGGACTGTCGACCGTGGTGATCTCCGCCGCGAAGGCCGCAGGCCTCTTCATGCCCTTCGGAGCCATGGCGGGCGAAGGTGCGAAGTGGCGCAGGCGGAAGGACGGCTCCGCCTCCTCCACCTCCTCCTAGTCTTCCTCGTCGACCGCCTGCGCTCTAACTTCCACGTCTTGTTCCTCATCCTGTACCACTCGTCCTGATTACCACCGCCATCATCCTCATCGCCATCGTCCTCCTCCCCGCCCTCCACCCCCTCCAACAGTTCCTCCCCCTCGTCATCAGCAGCATGAACAAGATCACCGCAAGCAGCACAATGATCATCGTCGTCGTTTTCTGAATCACCATCACCATCATCACCATCACCATCATCAGCATCATCATCAGCATCACCACCACCAGCATCAGCATCAGCATCATGATCATCACCACCAGCATATCATCATCAGCAGCATCATCACCATCATCGTCATCATCAGCATCGAGGGTAACATCATCATCATCATCATCATCATCATCATCATCATCATCATCCTCATCATCATCAGCATCGAGGGTATCATCATCATCATCATCATCATCATCATCATCATCATCATCATCATCAGCATCATCAGCATCATCATCATCATCATCATCATCATCATCATCATCATCATCATCATCATCATCATCATCATCATCATCATCACCATCACCGTCATCATCATCATCATCATCATCATCATCAGCAGCAGCATCAGCATCAGCATCAACGTCAGCAGCATCATCATCATCATCATCATCATCATCATCATCATCATCATCATCATCACAGACAGCAACACTAACATCAGCATCATGAGATGTACCCTCATCATGATCAGCATCATCATCATCATGGACATCATCATTGTCGTCGTCGCCGTCGTCGTCGTCATCGTCATCATCAGCATCATCATCACCAGCATCGTCATCATCATCATCAGCAGCATCCTCGTCGCCATCAAAATCAGCATCATCATCAGCATCGTAATCATCACCATCATCACCGTCATCATCATCATCACCATCATCATCATCATCATCATCATCATCATCATCATCATTATCGTCGTCATCATCATCATTATCATCATCATCATGAGCATCATCATCGTCAGCATCGTCCTCATCGGCATCGTCGACATCATGGTCAGCATCATCGCCATCAGCATCGTAAGCGTCACCAGCACCATCATCTAACACAATCCAACACCATCATCAGCATCATCATCACCAGCGTCAGCATCACCATCATCGATAGCATCAGCATCATCATCATCATCAGCAGCATCACTATCAGCATCAGCATCATCAGCAGCAGCAGAATCATCATCATCATCATCGTCAGCAGCAGCAGCAGCCTCTTCAGCGACATCATCAGCATCACCAGCATCAGTATCAGCTGCAGCATCAGCAGAATCGTCATCATTAATATCACCATCATTACCATCATCAGAGCGGTTATCAGTCGCGCGTCATCATAATCATCAGGATCATCATCAGCAGCAGCATCATCGCCATCAGCATCATCGTCGTCAGTATCAGCACCATCATCGTCGTGGTTATCATCATCATCATCATCATCATCATCATCATCATCACCATCATGAGCATCATATTCATCATAGTAAGTATCAGCATCGTCACCATCGTCATCATGTCATCATCATCCCCGTCAGCATCGTCATCATCGTCACCATCACCAAATTCGTCAGAATCGTAATCATCAGCATCACCATCGTCAGAATCGAGTATCGTCAGCAGCATCATCATCCTCAGCATCATCATCATCATCATCATCATCATCATCATCATCATGATCATCATCATCAGCATCATCATCATCAACATCATCATCATCACCATCATCATCACCATCGTCGTCATGATGATCATCACCGTCGTCGGTGGCGTCATCCTCATAGTCGTCGTTATCCTCAGCACCATCATCATGATCCACCTAACGATCATCATCGAAGTCATCCTCATCAGCCAAATCGCCAGCATCACAATCATCATCATCATCATCATCATCAGCATCATCATCACATCTTCATCAACATCGTCATCATCAGCATCATCACCATCAACAGCATCAGCAGCATCATCATCATCAACATCTTCTTCATCATCAGCATCATCCTCGTCATCGTCATCCGCAGCAGCAACAGCAGCAGCATCGTCTGCCGTATCATCAGCATCAAAATCATCATCATCATCATCATCATCATCAGCAGCACCATCATCATCACCATCATATCCTCATCACCATCATCATCGTCATCATCACCATCATCCTCATCCTCATCCTCGTCCTCATCCTCCCTCCTCATCGTCCGACTCTTCAGTTCCCAAACAGTGCTTGCACGTAGGGCGTCTTGCTTCTTTCCCAAGAAACTCGGCTCCGGTGTCGGGTCCGCCGCCTTGTGGTCGCCGTCGGCAACCCGTCGCCGCCCCGTCGCCGCCTCGTCGCCGCCCGCCGTTTGGGCTTCGTCGTCGGTTCCGCCCCCTTTTGGTCGCCGTCGTCGCCCCGTCGCCGCCGCCCCGCTGCACCCCCTTGGGTTGCCATCGCATCGTTGCAATCCAATCGATTGCAATTCAATCGAGTGCAATCGATTTGACAGGCCTGTCTGCGGCCACGCGTGCGGCCCCGTTCCTGCTCGTCGCCGCCGCCTTGCACCCCCTGCATTGCGATGTCGATGCATTGCAACCGCACTGCATTGCATTGCTTTGCATTGCATTGCAGTCGCATTGCATTGTAATCGCATTGCATGCCACTGCAATCACATTGCAATCGCAGTGCAATCGCATTGGTTTACATTGCGTTGCATTGCGTTGTATCACGCTACATTCTGTTGTTATGAGTTGCAATGATTTGCATTGCGTTGCTTTGCAGTGTGTTGCATTGCTTTGCGTTACGTTGCGTTGAGCTGCATTGATGTGCATTGCTTTGCATTGCGTTACATTGACCTGCATTGCGTTACATGGTGCTATGTGCAGTGAATTGCATTGCGCTGCATTGCCTTGCATTGCGGTGCATTGCGTTGCCGTGTTGCGATGCTTTGCATTGCCTTGCACTGCTCTGCATTGGCTTGCAGTGCGTTGCCCTGCGTTGCCTTGCCTTGCATTGTCATCGCATGGCGTTCAATTGCGGTGCATTGCGGCGCATTGCGGTACGTTGCTATTCATTACGTCGCAATTCGTTTCATTGCGTTGGGTGTGTGTTTGCATGTGTGCATTGCTTTGCATTGCAATCGCAGCACACTGCTATACATTGCGCTGCATTGCTTTGCATTGTAGTGCAGTCCTGTGCATTGCAATGCAGTGTTTCGCATAGCAATCGCATTGCAGTGCGTTAAATTGCGCTGCATTGATTTGAGTTGCGGCGCATTGCTGTATATTGGTTTGCATTGCTGCGCAGTGCTTTGAATTGTTTTGCATTCCGGTGCATTGCACCACATGGATTGCACCGCCTAGATTGCACCACGTTGATTGCACCACCAGAGTGCGCCGCACATATTGCAAGAAATCACTCCTAGGCGTACCAGCCTCTGCCTCTACCTGCTTGTCGTCGTGCTGCTGATCATCCATGTGATCATCATCCTCTTCCACTCCCTCCTCCTCGATGTCCTCCACCTCCTTCTCCTCCTCCTCCTCCTCCTCGTCCTCCTCCTCGTCCTACTCCTCTTTCTCCTCCTCCTCCTACTCCTCCTCCTCCTCCTCCTTCTCTTCATCTGCATGCTCATCATCCTCATCATACGCTTCATAATCAACATCATCGCTCTCCCCTCCACCCCACGCCACTCCCCTCGCTCCCCTTCGGGCACACGCGAGCATGGATTACAGATCTGTGGTTCTGGCGCGCCGGCGCCAGGTCCACTGATCGGGGGGGAGGGCAAAACATGAAGCCAATGCCGTCTCCTTTGGAGAAGGAGCGCGTCGAGCTTGTGGAGAAGGGACCCGTCGCCACCACACGCGAATGATTACAGAAGTAGTTGCGGTTCCTGTGTTTTCCTTCGCCCGTCCATCCCTACTGACCACATTCTCTCGAGAACGGGTGATTGTGGAGTCCCTCGGGGTCGAGTACGCGCGCGAAGCTTTCATTCTGAGTTCGCGCGTCCGTCTTTGAGTGCGGTTGTGACGGAGCGCACGCGCATGTTCTGCGCGCTCGCTCGCGTGTTCATCCTCGTCCTCCTCATCCTCCTCCTTCCCTGCGCCTGCGTCGTTCCTCAAATGAGACGCCCACCCCCTCTGTTGGTGGTCCCCTTCCCAGAAGAAAAAACGCACAGACACACACACACACACACACACACACACATACACACACGCGCGCGCGCGAAAAAAAAAAAAAACAAAAAAAACAAACAAAAAAACAA